CACACACATTGTGTTCATGGATTGTTGATCCCTTGCTAAGTGGGATATGCCACCCCCTGCTCATTTGCTCATCAAAACAAACAGCCAGGCATGCACTCCAAACTCTTGGCACTCGAACAAACCATTTCAAGTGGAAACGTCTCGGATGTAGTCCCCAAACCAATTGGGGCGGATGTCTTTTGAGGGAACCCCTTTCTTGTGTTTTCTTTGCAAGCCACAAGGACAACCGAAGCCATTTCGGCGGTACAACCGCACCCATCTAAACTAATAGTGGGTGACCCATCTATTTTTTAAAACCAAGCTAACCGATCAGAAGGACACCTATGGACATGACTTGCCCCTAGGCCTCCATATGGGCTGCGCTCCTCATCAGAGTCGTCCATCTTGACCTCGGACAAGCTGACAGGAGCCACCGACCCTGCTGTCACAGCAGCCAGCTAATCGAATTCTACAGGACATTGGTCTACACACAGGGAAAAAAGGGGGATTTCCGGTGGAAGTTGCTGGTTTCTCGGAAGTGGGGTGAAAACGGTGCCACTCAACGTGATTTACCGCATTCTGATCTTTGATTCATACACCTGAACAAAGAGTGTTTCAGGACACTTCATGGGCGAAATCGGTGGCACACCCCGGGTAAGGTCAAGTCGTGACCTGCTTCCTTTCAAAGCAAAGTGGAAAACCTGCGAAGCCGTTTGTGTCTTTTGCGGTCTTTGCGAGAAAGACATAAGTAGTGAAACGGCATTTTCCAGGTTTCGACATGTCGAGCTTTGTGGGTAGAGTGCATCTTGGGCGACCAAACAGTGGCGGAAAAACACTCGAGACAAAGGCGAAAACAAACGGAAACAGGCGGAAACATCCGGAAATCTTAGATGAGCAAGGTTGCCTTCTGCAAAAACGCCTTGTGTCCAAACATGTTTTTCTAAACAACAACCAACAGTTTGCTGTTTTTTGTTCGATTTAGGCGTTGTTGTTCTTTTGCGCAGGTGGGCTTCGCAGGAAGTCCTCAGTTTTGGACATCGACCACGCCGATCCCCGCAGAGGCTGTGACTTTCGCAGGGTGGGTTCGGTCCACGAAACCTCAAAAGAATAAGTTGCATCTCTCGTGCAAATGTTGCGTGCAAGTGCGCGCTCATGCGAGTTTGCTCGCGCAATGTGTGCTGGCGCGAGTGCGCTCGTGCAAGTTTTTTCCACTAACTGGACCTTGGGCCTTTCCCAAGTTTGGTATTGGATTGGTATCCTCTTCGGCCCTCTCTGCCTAGTACTGGTTTTGAGTTGAGTATTCCTTTGAGCAGGCCCAGTACTGTTCTGATCTAGCGTTGCTTTTGCCCTAGTGCTAGCTTGGTATTGGTTTGTGTTGGTCAGTGGTTTGGTTTTCAGACTGAAACATGGTTGCACAATCGGGTTTCTGCTTTTCATACATGGAACCCCCCCGCGAAACCCTAACAACCTAGCAACCTAAAAACCTGAGGGGACGGCTGGGAACCGCCAGGTAAATGGCAACATTGGGGGTTGGCAAAACCGAGGGAGCCCTTTGAGGTGGCGTTTATCGAGCCCAAAGAAAACCACTTTAAAGTTTAGAGGTATGCGCATTTGCGAAAAGCATGGCGTCGGCACTTGGATGTTCAAGGAAGTAAGTAGGCTTTAACCATGGTTATACGTTGGACAACAGGGGTTGGTTGACTCATAACTATAGTCACAACCAAGTACGGTAGCTTGAAAATCCAAGCACCCCACGATACTGCTTGCTGCTGGCATCTTTTCTTCCGATGCATCCCTTATGGGAGTACGTACCGGGCGCACCCCGAGCCTGGGTCAGCTGTCTGGGTTGTGGACGAACTCGGCACAGTCTGAGTTGGTCTGGAAATCCGTTCACCACTTTTCGGAGACCCTCACTGGACATGGGACACATGATTGTCCTTTAGTGCAAGCTGGAACACGTTGATTGCAACCCATGGGTCTCCACTCATTACCCGAGGTTTCTCATCACTTACCACAGTGGCACTGCAAATGCCTCACACACACAGTTGGGTGCCGTTTTAAACCAACTGGAACACCAGACTTTTGAATTTTGGGGTACCTATTTTGGAGTACCCTAAAAACCAGACATAACCAGCTTCGATTTCCTAAGGAAGCAATCCACACTTCGCCGAGCCAAGTCGTGCCACACCCTTCGCCGCCGCCCAAAGGCTCCATGCCTGGCAGGGCCTCAAAAAAACCAAACTACGGGCAAAACATATCCTGCGTTTTGAGGAGCACGGGGAGATTGTTGGGGCTAACACAGCCCTTCCCGTCCAGACTAAGCTACGGTACCGGTGAGGAGGGCTAGAACTGGCAGCCCTGGATCTGGCTCTTGGGACTAAGCCGTCTGACAGTGGTGTCCGCGTATATGACCGGGTGGATGTCCCCTTCTTTCAAAACCCATCGGATCTTTCAAACAGCGGCGGTTTCCCCTGGGTGGTTGATGGTTTGAAAATTGGAGCCCTGGAAACCCGTGTGACTAGGTCCGCACACAACTCGAAGCTCCTTAGCTCCCGATTTGTTTTGGCAAATCCTTCTTTCCAACCACTAGCTAGTGACTCTTTGGGATTCCAAGCCAACGACTGGTTTTCTGGTTGGGTCCATCTTCAGGGGAAACGAAGAATCTGGACCATTGAGCTGGAGAACTCCTGGAAATCACTCGACATTAGGGAAGGTTCCACTCCAAACATCCCCCGAAAGGGGATGCTTCAAGTTCCGGCCGGGCAAAAAGGGTAGGGGTCGAAGACAAGCACTACATTTGTTGATGCCAATTGCTCATGAACTCTCAGTCATTGGCCTGGAAGATTGTCAGGTTCTATCTTGACTTCTATTTTAACGGAGTCACAAGCAAGGGTCCACAAACAGCCCGACCATTAAGCGTTGGTTTGGGAAAAACTGTGCCAAAAAACGAATCAAACAAGCTGCATTCGTTACTCTTCAGGCTCCTTGATGGCGAACAATCTTGGGCTCCGAGTACTTCAGTTCTCCACCGTAAACAAACTTTAAGCCACCCCAAAACCCCAAACCAAAGTTCCTGGATTCTGGTCCGTATCTAGTGAACCTTTCAAAGCCACAAAAACTCAAAAAAGATCCCTAGTTCCATCCCTCAGTGCATTTGAGTCGCACTCAAAACCTGGTACTAAAAGGTCTTCCCAGAACCATGCTTCAAGAATTAAGAAGGCGGATCTCCGCAGCTATTTATGGTTAAAACTGTCTCTTTCTAACCTTCATCTACCCGAATCGGTTTTGAGCCACGTCCGCTCATTTCGCTAGCGGCTAAACTCGTCAAAAATACGTCGTGAATCACATACGTATTCAAAATAGTGTAATACGATTCATAAACTAGTTTACTATAGACTAAACTATTAAACTAGTCATACATACGTCGGTGAATCCCCGAAACTTCGTCCAATACGTCGAGCCGCTGGCGCGGATCGATCCCCGGCCGAGCCGAACCGTTTCGTCTCCCCGAAACGGGGAAGGAAGCCCTGCCAGTGAATTCGCTGCGAGGTGACGGGTGGCAACGCTGGGGCAGTGACAAAGACGATGCGACGCATACGAGACCCTCCTCAAAGGCAGCACACAAGTCGCTTATGTACATTTTACATAAACACAAAAAAAAGGCTCTGATTTTGACAACCCCCCACTTGCCTTTGTAAAAACCAAGTGGAGTCTTGCAGGGACGTTGCCAGCGCAGTGATCCGAATCTGGTTTTGACAGAGTCCAAATACGACAATCCCCTGATGGGATGCACCAGTCCGGCTGGACCCACAAAATGGTTGGTCTTGTAAGGCCGCAGATTTTAGGGGTACCTCCAAAAAAGACCAAGCCAGTTGGCATGGACCAAACCCTATGAATGCTGATGCGGCGTGGATTCTGTTCATGCGAGCCAGCGAGCTCGACGTCAACCCAGCTTGCCAAACAGCAAGCAAGCAAGCCGGCAAGCAGGCAAGCAGGCAGTGAAAAAGAAAGCGAAGCAAAGCAAAGCAAAGCGCAATAAAAAGCCAAGCCAAGCCAAGCCAAGCCGAGCCGAGCCGAGCCGAGCCAAGCCAAGCCAGCAGCAAGCAAGCAAGCAATCAATCAATCAATCAAGCAAGCAAGCAAGCAAGCAAGCCAGCCAAGCCAAGCCAAGCCAAGCCAAGCCAAGCCAAGCCAAGCCAAGCCAAGCCAGCAAGCAAGCAGGCAAAGAACAGCCAAGCAAGCAAGAAACAGCCAAGCAAGCAAGCAAGGCAAGGCAAGGCAAAGCTAGCTAGGGCTCGAATTAAACCAGGTACCTATGGCCCTTTTGGCAATCGGCTTTAGGCACTAACATCAGCACGCAGGTCCCGCCACCTCGAATCCGCGTGCACCATCTTGTCTTGTGACAAGTGTGGCATGGGACTTGTGACGAAGGTGCGCAAGCTGCAAAGCAAAAAAAGGTGCGCCGGCTTGCGAAGATGTTTGACAAAAGCTAGCACTATAATGTTGACCCCATATAATCAACCCGGGGTGTTGCTGGTGTGTAGTTGGGAGTGATCACTTTTGGAGGGGAACACCCCCCCTATTTGTAAACTGAAGTTGATTAATATGGGGTCAACATTAGTCAAGTCGCTTCCTCTTGGCGAAGTCGCTCGGAGCGGCTTGACCCGACTGAAGGTGAAGTGACAGGGCGTGTCCCTTGCTGAAAGCTCGGCGCTCACCTATCTTGGCACGCGGCCACGCACTTCGCTTGAAAACAATTCCTAAAAGACAGCATCGCGGAGCAGCTTATCCCGTGGTTTCGGGGGTTTGGGAGCTTGGCTTGGTGGCTTGGGTGGGTTTGCTGGCTTGACGGTTTTGTTAGTTGTTGGCATTGGAGGTGGCTTCCCATTTCCCTTCGAGACCTTTCCCAAACCACCCACGAGGGGTAAGCCGGATCTGTCTGATGCTGGCGCCGGGTCTAGACAAACACCAGTCCCGAAAAAAAAATCCTGGGAAGCTCACTCGAGTGGATGGGCCTGTAAAATGTATCCTAAGTCTACCCCAGACAAGTTTACAAAGTCCAGCAACTCAGGAAGTGAGAAACCCAAGAACACGACAAGCAAATCCTTGTCACCAAATCCCTCTTTCCTTGGCTTTGCTCGAGGAAGCATCCGCGCAAGCTCAAGGCGTTGCGGCGCGTTCCAGCCATCGGGAGTGGTGCACCTGCGGGGGGGCGTTTTAAGGCGACTTAAATAGTAACAACGCTACGTGCATAACGAATTGAGTGACTGTCAACGAACTGCTTTGGCAATTTGAAGGCAGGAGCCAGAAACCATGGCATGGTCATGGGAGCCGCAGAATTACCTCGCATTCGTCGCCATCTTTCCGAAACCGGAAATAAATGGATCCTAATGGACTTCACGGGTGAAAT